TACCCCTTCAGCTATCAGACTGTTTCTTCCTGCATCCATGTGGACAGGTTACAGCCTTCTTTTTTAAGTCTTATTATTGCACTTTCTTGTTTTGCTTTTTCCTTTCCCCTGTATGTTTCCCAAGGGCCTGGGTGGCAAACTCTGCTTTTTTTTTTTTTTTTTTTTTATAGCAAAACCTGCCCTGTAGTATCTGTAGTTAATTTGACATCTTACTTTCAACAAGTAAGGAGAACTTCTGAGCCTACTTCTTCCAATAAATACCAGATGCAAATTTAGAAGTAGGAATAAATTTATTTTTTTAAAAAATCCTGTAAACAATGCAGAAATTATTTCTTTGTTCTCTTTGTTCACCTTTTCCAAACTTTTTCACTTGTTCTCTTTGTTCACTTTTTCCTATCTTCTTGTTTTTAACTTTTTATGTTTAAGGACTAATCTGTTATCTATTAAGGTCATAGTCTGTTGTGGTTTGAGTGTGGGGACTAGATAGGCTCAGGCACATTTAGTCATGGCTATTTATCAAATATATATGTTTGATATATGTTGTATTATATCCAACATAAAATTTATAATTTACATATGTTCTTTTTCTGGGTTAAGTAAAGGTGACTAGTCCCCTTGAGTGACAACCAGTGATTTTTGTCTTAATTGGTGATTTTGATGATGTGTCATGATACTGAGCCTGTTGGTGCCCCTACATTCCATGGGATTTGTTGATGTGGCCATTGTTGTGGACATTACTGTGGATAATAATTGGTTGACCCATTTTTGCCCATTTCTCTCTGAAGCAGTATAAGGCACATAGCACCCCTTGATAACTGCAGAGCTGAGCCCAGCTACTCTTAGCCCATGGGCACAGACTCAGGCTAACAAGTGGAGTTGGTACCAGGAATTTAACCTTGTAATGCTATTGGTCGGTGAAGCCGAAAGATGGAGAGGAAGTGACACGGTCACACTGGGGCAGTGCTCAGCTTAGTTACCCCCAAGGCTGCTATTGGGAACACGAGGACGTGTGACATTGGCAGCTCTGCCCAGCTCATAACTGTGTCCTACCCTAGAGAGTGACTCCCATCAAATTTAATGCTGTCAGCGTCCAGGTCCTGCAGAAGGAAAAATGCCCACACAGGACACAAGTCAGCACAGGGGTTCCCCACTTGACCTCCTTTCTATGGGGACAGGGCAGTCCAGGAGGACACTGGTAGAGCTATCACAGTAGTCTTAGTGATACGTAGAAAGGAAAAGAACAAATTAAAATGTTGGTGATCTGTCTCTTCCAGCCTGTCCTAGCCATTGTGAATGGGCTTGTTTCCTAGAACAGTTTCTACAAAACTTGAAGAACAAGGACTGTGTCAAGTGCTCCAGCCTTTTCTGCTGTGTACTTCAGTTTGATGCTTGGAAATAATATATGTATTCATTAATATTTTCGTGCAGACTGGAACAGAAAAGTAAAATATTGTGCATACAGAGTCTTTTTTCAAAAATGTCTCTTTATATCAATGATTTTGGAGTGCTTCAAGCAGAATCTTCTTCTGAAATCCCCATAGTACATTATTAATTTAGATAGATAGATAGATAGATAGATAGATAGATAGATAGATATAATACTTTTTTCTAATGAGAGGTCTTTTGCCACAAGTGCCAGTCCTGGGTATTAACAACCTGGTAATAATGACATATTAGGTAGGCATTGGCCTATAGGTGGATGTAAAATCTTCCTAAAACAGAGCAACAGAAATAAGCACTGCAGTTGCCTTCTCATATTGCCCATTAAGCTCCAGTCATGCCACTTCATATGAGCAAATAACAAGACACAAAAGACCTTCCCAGAGATAAAATTTCTATCATCATTTTTTTTAACAGAATCTAGTAAGTCTTCTGTGTAGAGATCTCGTACCTAAAAGATGGGAATTTGACCATATAGTTCTTCCCATTGTATTTGAAAGTATTATTCAGTTTGCAGCTAATAAAAGTATAGCAATTTTTTCAGCTGTATTATTCATTTTAGCTGATATAAGCAGCACTGCACTTGTTACCAAGTGGTCTCTTCTTTATACAGTTGTTGAAATAGTGCTCTTGTGAATGGTGTCTGCCTCTTATATGGATAAAATTTTATGTTGTATCTGCTTTTCAATATATTCCCTGTCCGACATCATTCTTGGAGTTCGTGAAATTTTCTGCCTCACCAGTTGACAGCTTGCAACAATAAAAGGTCTCAAAATATAGGAATATCCATATTGGTATCCTGCGAATTACAGTTTTATTTCTTATGTTCTGTATATACAAATGTGTCCTGAAGTTTTATGTGGGATACTACTTTGTCCTGTAATCTCCTAGAAACAGGAAACAAAACAGCCTGTTGTGCCATGGGAGGTACATAATCACTTCTGCTTGGTAGCACACCTGTAATGAGTGATTGTTACAGAGTACACATTGGGTGCTTTTGGAACCCATAAGAATAAAGAGTTTCAAGAAACCATAGATACTATTGAACAAAACAAAATGCTAGTTAAAAAGCAAAAAAGGTTAATTTAAAAAAATGTTAATTTCAGCTTTGCTGTTCAGACTTATTATTAGTAACACTGTCTAAAGAGTTTTCCTTGCTTATAATGAAATAAAATTACACAGTCTACTATAGCACTCTATTTTTTATTTTTTAACACTGATACAAATGTCTGTCTCACTTCACTCTAAAACCATAAATAAATACATCTGGAAAGAAAAAATATATCTAGCCTGCAGGCAACCAAAAAGTGAAATAAGTTGTTTGTTTGACTGAGACATACACATTGGGTTTTCAGCTGCATATGTGCATGACATTAATGTCACAAAAAGATAGGTTTGTTTATTTCCCCACAAACATTGCAGTTCAGTTTTGGCAAGATGTTTTGGAGTAGAGTTTTTTTTCATAGTTACTTGCAAAGCTGCTGTGGGTTTCAGTCCAGATTTCATAGTCATGAAATTTTGTCTTGCATAACAAATTCAGGACTGATTCAGATCTGAAGTCTACTGAGCCAACTGTCCATTTTCTGACAGCAGCTATTAATGTTTCCTTAGAAAAGCAAAACAGGGCAAGAAAGCTGTTTTTCTAGTCATAGCAAATTATATATCATCATAGACTTGAAATAAATTTATGTAAATGATCTTGATCATGACACTTAATCATGCTCAGCTTTTAGCATTTTACTTTGCAATTTGAACATCTTGAAACGAAGAAAGTTTTTGCAGCTTTTAAAAGTAGCCTTTAGTAAGCTGTTATGTAGGGATCTTTTAAGCATGAGTTTAATATCTTCTTTTAATAGCAATATTCGAATACCTGTAATAAGCAATACTATGAACTATTTAAATAGAAATATCAAGATTGTACCAATATTATGTAAATAGTTTGCTTCATAGGACTGCCTATCAAGCATATAAAAATGTATGTTAACTCTATTTGAAAATATAAAATGCCAATAAGTAGTATCCTACTTGTCTTTTTAATAAAACTTCTAAAGCTATTCACGTAGCAGCTTTCTATTTGCGTGATCGTGCTAAAGCAAACTAAAATGTGAAAATATTTATTCCATTGTCTCCTCCTTGTGATGGGATATATTAGAATAATGTATTTTCAAGGTGTGAGTATAAGTGGAGTAAAACAAGAATTAAGTAAGCAGACAGTCATTATTCCTGGAAATCATCTCTTGGGGGTGAGTCACTGAGTGAATTCAAAGTTAGGGATGTATTCTGATTCGGTTCGGATCTGAACTTTGTCAGCGAGTGTGATAATTTTGATCAAAAGTTATGATGCAGTTCCAAATTAATAAAAAACCTATGAAAAAATTTGCATTGGCATGGATTTCAAAGAAAGTGAATGATATTAGCTGAAATTGAATCATATAAACCTTTTGACATGTCAGGTGCCATATTCATAATGCAGCAGTTTTCAATTTTTAGTGTAGACTAGTGTAGTACAGTATTCACTGGAACAAAAGCAATTTTGAAAATGTATGAAAAAATTCCTAATTTTTTTACCATATGGATTATTTTTATCCACCTAAAATGAGACTGAAATTCCAGTTATGTTTTGTTTTGTTTTCCCCTGAGTCAATATGAACATATGTCTAGCATGATAAGTGTTACAAAAAAAAGTTATATATATTAAAATAACTTGTTATCATAAGATTATGGTCTTGGCTACTAAAATAAAAATTTATATTTACCTAAACTGGTGAAATTGTAAAACACCTATACAGAAAGTAAACATATAGGAGTAATCTTATATACAATTTCTAATGCACGGAGAAAGAAAAAAAATTATCTTATATGTTCAGGAATTACTGTAAAGATGGCATTCTATCCACTACTGTTCAGCATGTTCCAAAAAAAGTTCCCATCAACTGTATAATTATTGTCAACAGATTAAATGCTATTATTATGTTGTCAGGCACCATGAGTTATACATTATTGAAACGTCAAATTCAGCATACTGTTAAACATATGATAGGTTTCTTTAGAAAAATATTGATAAAGGTTTATCTTCTTTATGCACTTAAATCTGAAATGAAAAATTAAGCATTTGAAGGAGACTATTACTAAAAGTTTTTCAGCATATGCTACAAAAAAAATTATAGAGATCTGAAGATGTAGACTAGAAAGCACTGGTATCTTTGGTTGAAAAATTAGAACAAGTATGCATACGCAATAGCTATGAAAATGCACTTATCTGGGTTCTTCAAAGGAAAAGTATGTACAAATTTCTGTTCAGGAAAAATATCACTTCAGAGATAGAAAAGCATGCTAAAGTCTGAATATACAACTCACAAGTTCTGCTCACTGTGATAAGGAATTAGTTGCCTATAAATCAATGTTGAATGATACTTCAGAACTGATCACTCTGATAATAACTGATTCTAGACTGCTTTTAGGAATATTTTTTTAAGTAAATGAGAGCCTAGGAAAATCTTTTATGCTCATTCAGATATTGTATTTTCACCTAAATTTATTTTTTCTACAATTTTTTAAAGCACAGAACTGTTACACTTCGTAGACAACCAGTTGGTGGCTTGGGCTTAAGCATAAAGGTATGGGTAACATCTCTTTTTTTCTTTTAAATTTCAGTATGACCACTTCAGTCTTGAGATCTCATGGTTAATATCTCTCTCTTACAGGGTGGTGCTGAGCACAAAGTGCCTGTCGTCATATCAAAAATATTTAAAAACCAAGCAGGTAACTTATGCTATTTACTTATGTAGTACTGTCATTATTAATAGTTTCAGGAATCTGTTTTTATTTCAGTAAGACAGTTATGTTCCAAACAAAATATTTAAAGTGACTTGCAAAAACATAAGTATGACAGAGGAAATCTATTGATATACTTAGATTTTATAATACAGAGGACAGAAAAAGTACAAACCAGTTGTTGCTTTTTTTCCACACAGTAATTAATTGCCATATGGCATGACTAACTGTGCCTAGGTGCCTGCAGAGAGTAATTTGTAATGTTTATTATGGGAAGGTAACACAACATCCAAATCAGTACAGTCTACCCCGTTAAGTATTATATTGACATTTAGCTAGCAAAAGGAACCTTTGGGAAACCTTTTCAGACCTGAAGCTGAACTTGCCAAATTGGAGAACTGGTCTGGAAAACAAAGGGGTTCTTTAGTGAGGAAAAGTTGCATGTGGGTGGGCAGTGCCTTGCAACATGAAGGGTCTTAGATGATCAAAAGCAGTCGTGTTCTCTTCTCTGATGGATGTGGACGTGGGGATAAGCTTGTTCTTTTGTTTTCTGAGGCATTCTTTTACATATTTTAAGATTTGTTGTCTTCCAAAGCTTCTATGTGTTTCCTCTCTTCCCTAGTATAAATCTACCCATTTCATATAACCTTTTCTTAAAAAGAAGATGAAGACTGTGATCCTCAGTGCATGTCCTGCTCCTTAAAGGTCTCAAAGCCACTGACATGACCTTTTTAATTCATCAGGCTCTTTTCCTGTTTTGCTGTAATGGAGATTAAGCACATTTGCTTGACACTATGTTTAGACTTACACTTTACTAGGTCACATACTGTGCTGATTTTCCTCCTCTGCATTTTCTTCAGAGGGTCCTTGTTTTACTTGAAATGAATACCTGATTTCATCTGATACATAATGAATATTGAATGGATTGTCTGTGCCTGTATCCTATTGGAAACACTGCTTCAAGTTTCCTGTGTACAGTACTTACATTTCTTTTTATAATATTGTTTCTGCAGTGAGGAAGAGAAGGTGTTTTTATATCAAATGTATTACTGTATATGGAACAGTGATATGCTCCTTAAATACACAGTGTAATAAACAATACCAAGAAAATGTGCTGCATGAAAATAATAACAATAATTTAATATAAGCATTCAGATCAAAGGGAAGTAATTCAGAAATTTAATCACCAACAAGGAAAGCTGTGTCCTGCTCTCTTAGGGCATAGCACTCTCAACTAAGGTTAGTAGTGAGTTGGTACATAGAATACTTACATTCAAAGTTTTGTACATTGTGAGTAGTTTATCTGTATTTATTTGTAGAGAAACATGCAACAATTTTGTGGGGTCAGCTTTTTGCTTCAAATTTGAAAATCACTCCTCAGAATGTATTTGTTTTAAGATCTTATAATCTTTTGTCTGAGGAAACTACAAAATCAGTAGTGATTATAACCAGGGGCAGTGCTGTATCACAGCAAGCCCATATGCAATGTTCCTGGCTGGATCAGTAAATGGAATGAAGACATTGACACACCTGGCAAGGTATGAAGGAAGTAGTCGGGCAGGTTCCAGTTAGCTCCTGCATCCCTTCTAACCTGAGTCTGTGATTCAGGTAGTGCTGCAGATGCTAAAGATCAGAGATCTGAGATAGAAATGCATTTGGGGGCACTTGGCTTACAGCACTCACATTCCAGTTACTGAATTTTTGTGCAAGAGAAAATAGAGTGGAGTTTTTGTTCACTTGTTTCTTCCAAATAATGAATATTTCTAAAATCATCAAAAGATATTCAGAAGAATTTTGAAAGTACTCAACCTTCTTATACTGCAAATCTTTTTTCTTTTTTTTTTTTTTTATGGGATCTCACAAATCTCAGAGAGGTGCTGTTATTCAGTACAGGAGGAAGATAATAACAAAGGCTATTCACAGTGTTACTCTTCTAGTATTATATATAACTGGATATTAAGTAAGAGAACATGTCTAAATTTATCTCACAGGTGACATTGAGGCAATATTTCCAGTTTAAGATTCTAGTGTTTTAATGTAAGAGAAAACAATCTAGCAATATTATTTAAGGGAAAATAAGAAGTGTTCTATAATTATGTGCATTACCTCTCCATTTATACAATATATATATTGATACACAGACATGCATACCAAAATACAGATGTACTTACATAAAAAAGAATCTCTTTAAAAGGTTTAATATAATGAGAAGAAGTGTTATACATGATGGAGAGACGAGACTGGTGCAGATTTATCTAAAACTAAGTTTTGGTCTGAAAATCGGTATATTCATAATGTAGATAAATCACCAATGGACTTTCATTACACAAGGTACTAATAACAGTGAAACAGATTGGCTGGCTTTAAGAGTGGCTTTTAGTTAAGCAGTGAGATTCATTGTTGCTTCAAGCAAATATACTGAATTTTTAAAAATAAAAAAGGCTTTATTGTGCAGTAATATTAGAAAATAAATAATTTACCTGATAAAAAAAAGCAATTTCCTATCAGGCATTTTACTGTTTTCTGTACTTGAGTAAAATGCCTGAACGCACACGAGTAAAATTCTCCTTAATAACTGAAGAGCTGATTTCCTAAAATGGTTGATAATTTGTGATACTTTTCATGAAAAATGAAAAAAAAATAATGTTTACAACTTTACTTTGTGTGGATATAGTACTTTTTTAGTACCAAAGGTAGAAGCATAATAGAATAAAACAGTTGTTTCTTTTTTAGATCTCTATAACCTTTCTGCTATCTAAATAAAGTAATTAGTTGTCTATTTCTGTACTATTTAATCTTTTCTAACATTGGATAAGTGATTTTGTTGGTACTAACCTAAGCATCAGCTGACAACATTTGTGCTTCGTTTTGTGAAATAGGATGAACATTTCAATAGGATTTCATTTCATTATTCAACAGAAGTATATCCATAGCAGCAGTGCTTATAAATACTATTCTTATAGTTTTGACCTCTCAGCTGTGATCACAGTGATTATAAATTTCAAATTAAGTTATTCTAGATCACTCTTCTTTCCTGAACAAGTTCACTGAAACATACACAGAAACTCAGTTCAAGAGCATAACTTTACATTTTTGAAATACAAGATTAATTGGTCACTCAGTGATGGAGACTGATGTCCAATGTACTGCAAATCACAGTAAAAAATACACTGAGTTTTTCCTGAGCACATCCTTCTCAACAGTGTTAGAGCAAGTTTTGCTAATTCCAATGACTCATCACCAAGTTTGGCATTTTATGCTTTTTCTATTGATTCTGCCTTCCATTCTATCAAAGATTACTTTTCTTTTCCTACCTCCAAAACTTTTGCTAAAGTTAATTGCAGAGGGAAGAAAGTTCTGTGCCAGACAGAATGAGAAAAAGTAAATGCAATCTTTAAAATTTAATGTAGAGTTATAAACTCAAGTGTAAAGTGATATAATTAGCCACAGTATCATAGGAAATTATTTCACTTCCAAAACCAGGTGTTTTTCCTACCCATAAATCAAAACATCAGTTGACTCAGGGTATTAACAACATTGCTGATAATGTCCCAGATTATGGAAAGAATTATTAATGTTGAAACTTCTCAGTAATGTTCTATAAGCCTGATTCAGGCTGGTTTGGTTTATTTTTTTTTTTAATGTAATTTAATGCAGTAATGTTTTTGTTTTTTCCTTTTGAAACAGTCTTAAGATGGAGTGCATTGTACTCATTGTACATTGATTGGTGATTTGCTATTAGTTTCTAGGTGTGTTATATTTTTATATATGTGCTATAATCATATTAACAATTTACTTAAGGCAAATAGTGCTGTGGACTTAAATAAATGTAGAGTCCTGTTCTTAGAGCTATGTAATGTGATGTCCAGAACTTGGAAAGGAATCATATTGGTCAGGTTTTCTTTTTGTACAGTGAATCTATCAGCTCGATAAAAAATACTTCAGAGAAACTTCAAATGCTATATGTGGAGATAAAGTGTGGAGATAAGATTTCATGTGTTTACATCTTTCTCTGTGTATTTCCATTTTTAATTACTGAAGATTCTTTATGAGTTTGTAGAATCTAGATGGTGGAGGTTGTAAAAATGAATGAATTTTGAAATCTAAGTTCATCCTATGTACAAATAATTTACCACATATAATATTGGAAATTCTGGTTGTTTAAACATCAAACAATAAAGTACTGCTTTATTGCAGAATTATCCAGTTAGCAATCACATTTTCATCTGATGCAACTTTTCGTTTTGTGGGACCTTTTGCAATAATTTGACTACTGCTGCAAGTTCTGCTCATAGCTCATGTAATATGTGGAGTCTAACAAGCAGCAATGATGAAACAGAGCAGTGGGTTCAGCTCATGAGCCATGATGAAAATAGGCAAATAAAATGCTATAAAGTGCAATGGAATGGGGTTAGTTTGCATTGTGCCAGTTTCAAAAAAAATCTCCCTTAGGAGCCAAAATTAATTAAAATCTTATTTTGAATGTATTTTCCCATTTTCTGTAGCAAAAGCTGACTCATAACTCATGTTTTGCTGTGTTGAAAAATCTTCTGTTTTATGCTAAGTCCATTCCTAACTAATGCTGTCCAGGACTGGAATGAACTCCAGACATTCAGCAACTGAAAATTTCTTGGTTTAAAACCATGTGCTCTGCAAACACAGACTGTGTCCAAATATCACATCCTGGCTCGTGCATTCAGGACATGGCATCAGCTTGATGAGGGCTTTTAACAGTTTTGCATGCCAAAGATGGTTTTGTGTGAAATTGTCTGTGATACCTCCTCCACAGGTATATTTCTGGGTTTTGGTGTTGACTCGGCACCCAAAGGGTACAAGCACAGTAACCCAGCCTAGTCTGAGCGAGCTGGTGGGCATGATGTGAGATTGCACCGAGCTGCACAGCATGGTTCTATCCACAGCTGATGTTCTTTATCCCTGCAGCTGTATTCACCTTAGTTTCATCAGCCTTGGAGAATCATGCCACTGAG